AGAGTCCTCAAGTAGCTAGCCCACCAAGGCAGGCAACAACAATAGGGAGACAGGGAGGAGTTGGAGGGGAGGGAGTGGGCATGGATTTGATCAAAACACCTTATATGCATGTATGAAATTCAATTTAAGTTTTTTTAAAAAATAAAAAAACCTCAGAGCTTATAGGACTGGAAAAATAGCAAAGTTTACCATATAATCGTGGTTTTTTTTTTTGAGACAGTATGGCCCTGGCTGGCCTGGAACTATGTAGTATCATATAATCTTAAAAAAAAATGTTTAAGGCCGCAATAGATAAGACAGGGATATAAGCAACTTTAACAAATTTATGGAGTTAAAAGTAGATGTGGTGTAGATGGGTAGAGGAAGCTTCCATCTATAGGTGGTAAGAGGGAATCAAGATGAAGCATGGTACACAGGCTCTCAGAAGCTTAGATTTGGAGGTAAAAGTTGGAATCAAGAACAGACCTAAAAATAACCAAGTGAAAAATGTACTCAACAAAAGGCCAGATCTCTAAGACCTTATTCTTCTCAACCAAGCTGTAAATCTGGCCAAGAATCCATGGCTGGAGAGCTCACAGGCCCCGGTGGTGAACCTACTATTATTATTTTGCAAAATAGAACATCTAAACTCATATTTCTATAGAGATTAATGCAGCTCTCCAGTTCTCATCAGCGAAGTTTCTTTGTTGAAATAGTGGTTAAAGAAGCAGCTTTCAACTGATGAAAGTGTGCAAAATAAGTGCTCAGTCACAAATGGGACAAGCTATGTCATGCCCCCCCCCAGGACTCAGGGGCCAACATGGAAGGAGGAGGGAGGCTGTAGGAACCAAAGGTTGGAGAGAACAGAAGCCAAACCCTGTGTTCTAGATATAACAGGACTGCTACACTCATGACCTCATAGCAGCTGTGGTTGCCTGCACAAGATCAAGCCAGTAAGCATTCTAGAATGGAGGGTGGAGGGGCTCATGAGCCATCATCACTGGGAAGCTATAAACAGTTGATGGCTTCTGGGAGAGCAAAAGACAGTTTTCTTTAAGGTTGACCCTAATAGGTCAACCACACTCCAGTGGGTGGACCTACACTCATGAGTTTATGGTTAGTACAAACTGAACTTGGTGGGCTATTAAAGAAAAAAGGAAGCTAGGTGAGGTGGTGCACACCTTTAATCCACAGAGGCAGGTGGATCTCTGTGTTTGAGGCCAGCCTGTTCTACACAATGAGTTCCAGGCCAGCTATAGTACAAATATGATTAAAATGCACAGTATGAAATTCTCAAAAAATTAATATCCAACAGTGTCCCACAGGTTCAAGAGACGAAAGAATTTTTATCCATAGGAATTAACGGATGACAACAAGGTAGAAAGGAGAGATCCAGGCACAGGGAAACATGTCAAATAGAGATCAAAGTCAGGTAGACAACAAGCAAACAGGTTAAAAGGAAGAAAACTGACCCTCCTCGAGCATCACACTAGAGTTTCTCCTGTAGAGAAACGAATTAGCCCTAAAGAAAAGGCCCTACTTAAAAGAACTGTATCCCTACTAATCATTCCCTCACATGGTGCTTCTGAAAATGCAGTCTACCTAGAATACTAACCTGCCAACTCTGTTACTTACCTAAGCTTTTCATCATTCACAGGGTTAACAGTTTGCTGAATGGAAAAGTGAAAGCTATCACTTACCATGCCCATCCTATACAACAGTTTCAAAGTTTTGGGGTCTAATAAGAGTGTCCAGAATAGCTAGAAAGTGGCTGGATGGCTGGGCAATTAAGAACACTTGCTGTTCTTCTAGAGGATCTGACTTGAGATTCCCATCACCCACATTCAGTGGTTCACAACTGCCTGTAACTCCAGCTCCAGGGAATCTGATGCCTCTGGCCTGTGGGGCACCTGCACTCATGTGCACAAACCCTACCTCACAACCACATACATGTAATTCTACAAATGAGCTAGAGATATGAGGAAGGTTGTCATTATGAACAAGAGAACACCAAAAGTAACACAAAAATCTTAATGCAACAAAGTAGGAAACAAAAGCAGTAATATGGGCTGGGGAGGATCAGTGGGTAAGGGACTGGTTGCCTAAGTATGAGGACCTGCATTCAAATCTCAAGAACACATGCCAAGTGGGATGGGTAGCATGTGTCTATAATCCTAAGGCAAGGTTGGGGAAGAGATAGGAGAATCTGTGGCAGTTTAGTGCCAGCAAGACTGGCATACTCAGCAGTGAACAACAAAGAGATTCTGTCTCAAATAATGTGGAAGGCAGAGAGGGTCATGGGATAGTATCCATGCAGGCCACCAAGAGAGAACCAGAACCAGGGCGGTGTGAACAACTGCAGAATTGTTGCGGGTGTCCTGGGGCCCTCCAGCCGGGGGTAGCGTCCGCGCGAAGTCAGGTGAGAAGCAGGCAGTGCGAGCAGTTGCAGACTCATTTATTGAGGATATGGGGCTCCCTTATATCCCCCCTCCGGGTGTCCCATTGGTCCATTGATAGGTCATGTCTGTTCCTCATTGGCCCTTTTTGCATCAGCCGTCTCTATGTCTTTTGGCAGAACACAGGGTTTGATTCAGCTGGATGTTTTTGGCACGTTTCCAGCACACATGCACAGGTTGTTCAGGCCACTTCCTCCTACACATCCACACGTTTTCTTTTTGTGAAGCTCTAGTGGGAGCCAAGATTCCTAGCCTTGGCATTGTTGGCCCCACCTCAGGGTGTCCCCAGTATTATGGACCATGCCTGTCTTAGGTTGGCTTGGTTAGCAAGCTCTTACCAGCCATTGACCACCGGCCCTCAAAGGGCAACCTCCCTGGGTATGAGCCCACCAGGGTGAGTGGGGAAGGCAATTGTTCAGAGCCCTGATGGATTTCCCTGTGAGCCAGGCCTGTAGGACCTCACAGGGAGGATTGTGGCCTGTGTGTTGAAGTGCCAAGAGGACCTGGAGTGTGGCTCTGTTGATGCGTTTTTCCCGTCAGGCATGCTGGAAGAGACACTTGACAAGGATGAGTAGGACCAAAGGAATTAGGCTAGCTATGATGACCAGGAGAATGGGGACTAACGAGGCAGGTGGGACGACACCTGAGGAGACCTGGCGCTTCCTAGCAAGGAAAAGAATGGGCATCCAGAGGTCAGGGTCCCACATGTTCTCGGGGGTGACCTATGGTGAAAGGATGGTAGCCTCATTCCAGAAAGCATCTAGGTCATTGGTTTTAAGACCTCGGATGACAAGGAGGGATTTTAATGCCTTGATTTGGGGTTCTCTGCAGCTGGGGGGCAGATTACCCATGTTAATTCTAAGACAAAGAGGTGTCGGACCCAGATGTCTTATGCTCAGTGGGGGACTTCTGTGGTTCATTAGGCCATGGTCGTATGCCCACGCGGTGTCTCCGGATGGGGTCAGGCCGCTCCTGGGTTCTGCCTCCTAGAGGGTCAGCCTTTATGTGGAGGAGCCTGGCAAACCAAAAGCAAAATGTGTACCTCCCTAATTGACAGGACGAGGGAGGGAAAAGGGAAGGTGGGGGTTCTCACGCTCACCCACGGGAGAACCGAAGGCACATGTAACACATAGGGGCCGACTTACCGAAACTTCAGGCAGGGGCATCTCACAACACCGAAGTGGGGGATTGGTGCCCAGGGGGTTGCGGGTGGTGAAAGCGAAACTAAGACTGGTCTCTGGAGCGGTCAATGCACGGGCCGCAGAAAAGTACAAAGAACACAGTCCAGAAGAGAAAAGTGGCTACCACAACCATGGCCAGAACCCAAGGTCAATGCCCATGTCAGCATGGGGAACCCACTTTGGGAGCCACATGTTGTAGGTGTCCTGGGGCCCTCCAGGCGGGGATAGAGTCGGTGCAGAGTCACGACGCAGACTCCCGAGTCAGGTGAGAAGCAGGCAGTGCAAGCAGCTGCAGACTCATTTACTGCGGATATGAGGCTCCCTTATATCCCCCCTCCCAGCGTCCCATTGGTCCCAGTAGGTTTTCTCGGATCATGTCTGATCCTCATTGGCCCTCTCAGTTGAGCCATAGTGAGGCCTGAACAACCTGCGCATGCGTGCTGCAAACATGCCAAAAACATCCAGCTGAGTCAAACCTGTGTTCTGCCAAAAGACATAGAGAGGGCTGACACGAAAAGGGCCTGACACAGAGAGCCAATGAGGAACAGACACGACCTATCAATGAACCAATGGGACACCGGGAGTGGGGATATAAGGGAGCCCCATATTTGCAATAAACGAGTCTGCAGCTGCTCGCACTGCCTGCTTCTCACCTGACTCCCGGTGTCTGTGTCATGACTCTGCGCCAACTCTGCCCCGACCCAGAGGGCCCCAGGACACCCGCAACACAGATTTCTCTAGCACAAAACAGGAACTTTATCTGTATGAGAGTACAAAAAAAAGAAAAGAAAAAAAAAAAGCACCTTCAAAACTAGTGATAAAAGCATAGTTTTTAAAAAATATTTTATTATTTTTATGTGAATGAGTGTATTGCCTGCATATATGTGAGCGCACCCATGTCATGCAATGCCGTGGTCAGAAGAGAGCTTCGGATTCCCCTGGAACTGGTGTTTTAAGAAGGGTTCCTAGCCTCCATGTGGGTGCTGGGAATCGAATCCAGGTCCTCAAGTCCTCTGCAAGAGCAGTCAGTGCTCTTAACTGCTCAGCCATCTCTCCAGCCCCAGTATTAATTACTCTTATAGTCATAATTAAACAATAGTGAATGCATTTACTAAACACTAAGATGTAATTAAATAATCATCAAGAAGATAAGTGTAAAACTAAAACAATAGTTAAGTAGACATATTTATATGAAGTGAGATGACTAACAAAAATCTTTTGGAGCAAAAGTGAGTGTCTCTGGGAATAAAAAGAAATTTCAATCAAGGGCTATTCTTTCTTTTTTATCATACCATCTTAGAACATCACTGTTTGACTCTTAAAACTGTATACACATTACTTTGACATATAGAGATACAAAAGCAAATAAGGTCACATGGTCTCATTTGGTTTTAGACAATATATTTATTTTGAGATTTCAAATGACATTAGGAGAAATGTTTTTCATGTTTACTGACTGGTGGGTGCATGAGCTAAAAGTGGGTTCTAAAAGTAATCATCCAACTCTCAAACAGGCATTTACACATCGAAACTCCAACAGCAGCATTTTTTCACTCCTTCCACACTTAAAACTGCCATGTTCACAAATAACTTTACAATTTAAACAAAGAAAAGCATTATATTAACTCTCAATGTTTGTGTGAAGTAGGAAGCAGCAGGCTGAACAGTGGTCCTGAGGCTGCCTCTCAGCCTCTCCTTAGCAGTTCGGGTTCTTGTTTGTGTGCTCTGCAATGAAATTACTTTCATCATCGAGGGGGTACCTCTCCTCCTGTTTACCAGACATTGCCCTCCAGAGAATATCAACCTTAGCCAGACTGCCTATAGCTCAGGTAACATGTCACCACTTCCTGATAAGAATGTCCCTTAGTAATAAATAAGCCATGTGATTTCTGTTGTCAGAGTGATAATAAATGCTAATATAATAATTTAACAATTGGTGACGTTTTATCAAATACACATGTGGAGAAGTTAAAATCTGGACTCACTAGCCACAGATTCAAACTGAGTACTAACCATTAGCAACAACAAAGGGACACTGTTATTTTAGCAAGACACTTAAACATAGCACAATTAATTTTGTTCACTTTTATTAATACAAAACATACTAACAGAATGTAACTTTTAAGGTTACATATAAACTCTGTAACTAAACAAATAATATTCACTTGACTCTTAGTTGAATGATTCTCCATTAGTAGTTATTTTCCCAGTTTATCTTAAACTGCCTTATGATGTCAATGAAATCTCTTAGCTTTTGCCTACTGAATAATTTTTCAACTGGAAAAAATATGACAAAATATTTCCTTGCAAATTAATGCATTTTTTTCTAAGTCTTCTACTTAGTTGCCTTAATGACATCAGTGTTTCTTAAATATGAACGTCCATATTCTTCATATATGAATCCTTTACAGTTCAAACGGCAGAAAATAGAGAATGTACTTGTAAAATGATAAAGCTTCAGTTGTATTTTTGAAATTTCCATCTTTTCCATAGATGTGAAAATGCTAGATCTCCTCAGCTTAGAGAACCCTTGGTACTGTTAGAAAAGGAGATGCAGGATGGTAGTCCTCTTTGAACAGCATATTCAATCCATAAAGGCTGAAGAAACAGCCAACCTCTTACAAAGAATCCCAAAAAAGAAACACCACCATGTCCAAGAGGAAAAATGTTCAAAATAACAGTATTCAGAAGGACTGACAAAAGAGTATTTTTAAAGAAGAATCCATGTCCACAGAAATTTCATGCAAGTAATATTTTTATAAGTTAGAAGTCATCATGAATTACAAGTTCTTTTAATTGAATTTCATATTATACAAAACTTAAGTGTGGCACATTTCTACCATGAACCATTATATTATTTTTATTTATTTTTAAAGCATGTATTGGTCAAAATGATATATTACCAAACCTTATTCAAACATAACTGAAGGAAACCAGTACAAATTCTGAATACACAAGCATTCTTCTACATAAATATGAGTTATTTTAGTGTAAAAAAAAAGGAATTTCAATGCAATTAAGTCACCTCTGATGCACATTTTCATGCATGTGGATGTAGTTTACAATCACTTCAAGAAGTTCCATAGCAAATAAATTACAGCATTTATTCAATAAAGATTAAATAATTCTAGCTGGAAAATAAAGGAACTTAATCAGATATAATTTATCATGTACATATTCCAAAACCCCCAGAATTTAAGAAATTTATCGAACAACTTTTTAAGGTATCTTAGGAAAACTGACCAAAACATCACCTTCACTAAAGAGAATGTGTATACATATCCACATTTATTTGCCCTATATGCAAAAATTTAATGAAATATGGAGGATATTAGGATTTCAATTTTTGGGGGATAGATTAGTTGCTAAGTCAAAACACTTACCTGCCAAATAAGAACAGCCTGAGGTATTTCCAATGCAGAAGTAATCATGTTAACATTAAATACTCCATTAACATTAAATACAGTCTCCTTTAAGAATTTACATCTAGTTTACAGATCGGGCAGATGAAGATGTGCCAAGCACCTTTCCCATCTCACCTATAGTCCTTCTTCCCTTATGAAATATAAGCTCCAAGGGAAAGAATCACATGTGAAAGCATTGCAGGTGAACTGGGAACCTGGAATGTGACACTGTAGCCAAATGAAGAGGAATTTAAAATTCTATCCAAGACCTACCTGACCTCTTTGGATATTAATTTCTATGCTGGCCAAGGCAAGTATGTCCTCTGAAATCAAAGCCATACTTAACAAAGAACTGTAATAGAGAAACTGAACACATGAACCACCTCAACAAAGAGGTACTTTTAAGCCTTTACACATGACACATGAAAATGATGAAGTGTTTTATTTATATTTAGTCTTTCTTCAATCTTTCTGTAACTCAATCTTGAAAGGTTAGCAAGTCATTACACTCACATATCTCAGAATCCCTTTCTTCACACAACAGGCACACATATACAGCATTGTATGTCAATATACTATCAACAGCATAAACATTTAAGCAGTAGACACATTTCACATGAAAGAGGCTCTATGCATCACGTGGCCTGTCCCAATATAAAGCAGACATTAGAATGCATTTTAGCAGTTACAATATTGATATGATCAATATAGCTAATCTTTATACCCATCCTATATTTTCATTAAGTCATCCATACATAAGAAGCAAAGGACAAAGGCTGTTTTTATAAAAGAAAGTTAGGTGCCAACTTCAAAATGACATACTACCCAGACATCAGCATTTGAAAGCTAGGTTGAACAGGACTGGCCTTGACGCACATGCAGTAGATTTGTTTTCAGAATATAAAATTAAATGGTGATGTCAGCAGTATTACTACTATTTCTATATTTATGATTAATTACTAGTAGTACAACTCCCAGAAGAAAGGAGATGGATCCAATAGTGATGTACGCAATTCCCAAAAATGGATTTTTTCCTCCCATCCATGAAATAGTGCTCAAGATCATCCGTTTTCGTCCATCAAAAGAATGTACTGGGTAATCTGAAGAGGGTATAGGAAGACTTCCTCTCTGCAATTACGTTTAAAATAAGTTTTAAAGTTACCATTTAATTGTAATTCATTTAAATATTCTGATATACAGGTACCTGGCCCATATTTCTGAATCACAATAAATAAATAGGCTAATTAGCAAATTTTCTCTGTGTGTGGTACTAAAGATTGAACCCACAGCAAGCACTCCACTTCTGAGTAATAGTCCCACACCTAATTTAGCAAACTAAATGTTACTACTAAAAGCCAAAATATTTAACCAAAACAAAACTCAGATTTATACAGTGTCTCAGATAGTTTTACTTTTATTACCCTAAGAAAGGCTAAAGGCTTCAAAGTAATATAATGTGAAAAAATACTTCAGATGAACTGCAGTGAAGCCCACACAAGAAGATATTGATAGACCAAGAGAAAACAGAAGCATCAGAAAATCAGAAGTCTCAGTAAATTCAAAAAGCATGTTTAAGTATGAAGCTATTAAGGTTGAGAAGACTCTGGGTACAGGGTCACAAAGAAATGATGCCGAAGTTTTACCTTGCTGATGTGAACAATGACAAAATCATGCTCTGACAGAACTAATAGCTAGAACGGTACAGCAGTCAGCTTAGCTAAGGAGATACAAGAAAGGTGACAACAGTATATGGATCAGTTAGCAACACGGGTCAGTTCTAGGGTGATGGCAGCAGAGTAAACAAAACTACAACTACTGAAAAGAGGTACACCTGCAACTCTCTGTCCCCACAGATGAAGTCCTTGGAGTCCAAAAGGCAGGGTTGGTTCTTCTAAATCTTAACCTGAGGCAGGAATGACTTTAATCCAACACTCCAAGGACTCCTCTCTCACTCTAGTACCTAGTTCTCGCCTTCTCTTCCACTTTTGTAATTAACTCTCGATGTTCTGCAAGCTCAGGTTCCTGTCTGGCCAGTCTTTGAGATGTCCTGCATCATTCCTACAAGCTCTCCTCTCACTGCTGGGCACAAGAACTGTCAATGAGAATTTCCAGCGCTCCAGACTTCCCTTACCGTGTCAGGCTGCCCACTAGCACTTGCCACTATTATTTACTAGACCTCTTTAGACGCTAACTGTGAGAGCTGCCTAATATTTTGGCTGGCCCTTCAGAGTTATGTTCTTCCTGGCTGTACCTGAATTGAGTCTGTGAGTCCAAAATTGCTCCCACATGGGCCTAGACTCAAAGGCATGGTCTGCCAGTGTTCCGGTATATTCAGCTGCATATTCAAGTGAATCACCAAGAGGCTAGGAACCAAAAATAATCTCTATTTTGAAAATTGGCTAATAATTTACTATAAAACCAAACTATTAGTGGCTCATACAGATTTTATAAAATTTTTAAAATGCAAAGATTCATAAGCATTTTAAAATGCTAGTATCTGGGACTCTTTATAATCACAGTATATGTAAAAAATGGGTTAAATACTGGAATATGTAAAAAATGGGTTAAAAACGTGGAACTTCCTTTAGGATGAAAGGAGCTTCCCATTATTTCCTTCTCATAAGACTTTGCATCTGGGCTGGCGAGACGATTCAGCAAATAAAGGTGTTTGCTGTGCCAGCCTGATAACTTGAGTTCAATCCCTATAACTCATATTTTAAAAAGTAGAAGGAAGAGAATCAACTTCACAAAATTTCCCTCTTCCACATGTGAACCACAGCACACACATGCACATCACACACTGATACACAATAATAATAAATAAGGTTTTCAAATTAAAATAAAAAACTTGGCATCTATGCATGTGGAAGCATGAGGTTCAATTACCAGCACCACAAAAAAAAAATAAATAAAATAAAATAAAACCAGGAAATAAATAAAATAAAATAAAATAAAACCAGGGGCTGGAGAGATGGCCCAGTGGTTAAGAGCACTGGCTGCTCTTGCAGAGGAGCCGGGTTCAGTTCCCAGCACCCACATGGCTGCTAACAACCATTCATAACTCCAGTTCCAGAGGATCTGATACCTTCTTCTGATCTCTGCAGGCATTACATGACACGGGTGCACCTACCTACATGCAAGCAATACACTCATGCACAGAAATAAAATAATAAATAAAACTAAAAAAAAATAAGTCAAAACTAAAGCACAAAGTAACATGTCACACACCTGACACATGGCAATGCATATCCTTTGAAGCTCTACAAATCTGAACACATAACCAAAAAAGGATACTGTATGTGATGTTCAAATAGTATTGTCCAGCTGGTAATGTTGGATGTAAATCACTTCTGCGTTCTATAAGACGATACAACTTACGAAAAGTAGGTAATGCTGCAGTACGCATCCAAACAATAAAGTCCTCATTTATAAACCCATTATTATCTTCATCTGTGTCTAGCTTGTATACTGGTTGATGCCAGTTTACTGGCTTTGTGGTATCTTAAAAATAAGTGGAGGAAAGAGAGGGATGTAGAAACAAAATTTGTAATTCTATTAATTGTTTCAATGAAAATTCATAATATTAAAAGAGGCACAAAAGAGGCACAAAACACAATCTGAGCATTTTTCTTATTTTCAAAGATAAATATATTCATATTCTAAAGATGTCTTTTTTATTTTGTATTGAGCTGTTGTAATTTCATACAAGTTCTTCAAATTTAGACCCCTCCCCATCCATGCCCCTCTAGCCTCCCCACCAGATCTCATGCATTTGACCATACATGTTAAGTGCTATCCAGCCATGCATTTGCATCCAGATGTCCTTCACTGCAAATTGATCCACTGAAGTCTAGTCAGCCCATCTCTAAAGAGGTCTTAAAAATCTAAAGAAAGACCAATTCCTCCTATAACAAAAATTTAAAGGACTCGGCTGAATATATTATATGACAGAATGCATGCAATCCGGTGGGGGTGGGGGGACAAAAAGGGGACGGGGGTCCAAATATGATTAAGATATATTGTATGAAATACACAAAAACTCAATAAAATAGTCTTTAAAAAAATGAGAGAGACTTGGTTGATACCTAAAGAGAATATAAAAAGCACATTACGTAAAAGGCAGATTATTTAATGACAAAATATAATGTTAGGAAGTGTTATGGGAAGCTGGGTGTAGTGGTGTATGTCTTTAACTCAGCACTCCAGAGGCAGAGTCAGGCAGATATTTATGAGTTTGAGGCCAGCCTTGTCTACATAGTAAGTTCCAGGCCAGTCAGGGCTGCACAGTGAGACCCTGACTTTAAAAAAAAAAAAAAAAATCCACTAAGTCTGATGACCTGAGTTCAATTCCCCAAATGGTGGAAGGAGATGACACTCATAAGTTGTTCTCTGACTGCCTCAAATGCACTGTGGCGGGCATGCACACAAATAAATTTTTAAAAAAGAAATATTGCACTATGAAATTAAGGCAGTATGGAAACTAAATAAAATAAATTTGGATTATAAATAATAGGGGCTGATTTAAAACAAACTTTGTTGCACTTTATAAAGATTATTGCCAAAATGCTTATAAGAAAACACAAAAGAAATTCAATTTATAATTAAAAGTATATATTTCCTTTACAGTTTTAATGCATTTTAGTGCACCTACCTAACTTGGTGTGAAGTTAAGAAAGAAAATGCTATTTTTTTTAAAATTGTTTTTAAAACTGTGAAGACAAAATTTAAGTTATTTAACTAAAACCCCTAGCTTTGGGACATATCAGCAATGTTTTACCTTTAAATTTTTCTTCAAGGCTTCCTGCTCCAGGTGGATTTCTGAATTTCACATTTTTATCTGTCCACCAAGCAATACCTTTCTTTTTCAAAGTAATAGGTGTAAGGGTGAGATCAGATTCATTGGTAACCAGAAACAATTCTAATGTATCTAAGCACAAGAAACAAGAAATAGAAGATATTACTAACACCTACTAAAAATCCAAAGCACTTGATTTTATTCTGAGAACCGTGGATCTGGGATTCACCCCAAAAGCAGAATGGAGAAGGTACAGATTAGCATTTGTTCTTTATCCAGATGTAAATGAACTATGAATTCTGCACAGGTTTTCCTTTACTCACTACAGCTCTAGGTTACTTTCCTAAAAGGTTAACTGATAAGACTAAATTTTAATATTAACCCAAATAAAACTGCAATGTAGTTAGTTCTTCCTCTCTTCTCTTTCTTCCAATACTACTACATTGCTGTAGCCCTTGGCTTCTGCATTTTGCTGTACTCTGTAACCACACATGGCTACTGAGCTCCTGAAATGTAGTTAGTACAAATGAACATGTTCTATAAGCGTATAATACACATCAGCTCCCAGGGACTTAGTATAAAGCATGCTAAGCATTTCAATAACTTTTTTTTCTTTTTTGTCTTTTTGAGACAGGGTCTCCTTGTAGCCCCAGCTGTCCTGGAACTCATTATGTAGACCAGGCTGGCCTCAAACTCACAAAGATCCACCTGCCTCTGCCTCCCAAGTGCTGGGATTAAAGGCGTGCACCACCACACCCAGCTTCAATAACTTATACGCTGAAATGGTACTACTTTGGGTACAAAGTTAATTTTACTTGCTTCTTTTGAGGGCTTTTAATAGTAACATTACAAAATTCAAAATAGTTTGCATTTATGGTTTATATAACATTTCCTCCAGACAATGTATAACTAAATGACCAACTACAGCTCTTTTGTAAAAACAGAAATGAAGCCAGGCGTGGTTGGCGCATTCCTTTAATCCTAGCACTCTGGAGGCAGAGGCAGGTGGATCTCTATGAGATCGAGGCCAGCCTGGCATACATAGCAAATTCCAAGGCAGCTGGAGCTAACAGAGAAACCCTGTCTAAAAAACCCAAAAACAAAAATAAATTTAATTAAAAATCACTAGAAATGGCATCCTATCTTTTTATATATGTAAGAAACAGGAAGATTAGATTTTCTTTTCAGAGACAGAAATTCATTCTTAAATATAATAGCCAAAATGAAGTCATAACACATTAAAACCCCAATCAATATCTGAGCATTTACCTTAAAGTTGAATTCCTCAATTTCATTCATATTCACTAGACTATTAACTGTATAAGACCACACAACTTGTCCTAATTTATCTATGTTGATATCTGTGTCAATGTTTGTATCTATCATACCATTAAACATGCTGTTGGCAATAGCTCCACAAGGAGCAATTGGTTTGTCTTCACTTCTTCGATAAGGTTCACATTCCTTACTTGGATTCTAGTTTATAGAAGGAAAAGAGAGAAATTATCATCTAGACCTCTGGAAGAATTCAACTAATTAAAAATTCCACCCTTGCATTTTCCCAATTGTAATGCATGTAAAATGAGTTTGTAATGCAAACAGGCTCTAGACTAAATACTCAAAATATTCTTTACGGGGCTGGAGAAATAACTCAGCAGTTAAGAGCACTTCCGGCTCCTGCAGACAACCTGCGTTCCATTCCCAGCACCCACATGGAGGCTAATAACTGTCCACAACTCCAGTTCCAGGGGATCCAATGTGCTCTTCTGGCCTCTGCAGGCATTGCATGACATAGGCACACTTACATACACACAGGCAAAACATTCACACACATAACATAAAAATAAACAATTTTAAAATATTCTTCATTACTATAGTACCTTTTAAATGCAATGTTCACTTGTACAGCTACATATGATTTATCAAACTAATGTATCTTTGATTTTCATATCAACATAGAAACCACAACCACATTCTGATCAAGAAAAATTAAGAAATGGTCTATTGCTGTCAGTCATGGTGGTGCACACCTTTAATCCCAGCACTCAGGAAGTAGAGGCAGGTGGATCTCTGCAAGTTCAAAGCCAGACTGGCCTACATAGCAAGTTCTAGGTGAGCCAAGACTATACTATGAGACCCTCTTTCAAAAACAAGGTCTAGTGTTAATCCAGCTGTATGTATATATATGTGTGTATATATACA